ACCGAGAGCAGGGCCTCCCCAGTAGATCTTAAATTACGAGGTGGAACATAGAGAGAGATACGTTCGGATAAGTAAGCTGGGCCGGAGCCTTATAGGGTTTTATAGGCCAAGACCAGCACTTTGAATTGTGCTCAGAGGTGGACCGGCAGCCAGTGGAGCTGACGCAGCAGGGGGGTGGTATGCTCCCTGTATGGCTCTCCGGTGAGTAATCTGGCTGCTGCCCGTTGGACTAGTTGAAGTCTCCAAACAGTCTTCAAAGGCAACCTCACGTAGAGCGCATTGCAGTAATCTATTTGTGATGTAACCAAAGCGTGGACCACCGTGGCCAGATCAGGCTTCCCAAGGTACGGGCACAACTGGTGCACAAGTTTCAATTGTGCAAAAGCTCTCCTGGCCACCACCAAGTCCTGGGGTTCCAGGCTCAGCTAATCCAGGATCACTCCCAAGCTGCGAACCTGCGTCTTCAGGGGGAGTGTAACCCCATCCAACACAGGCTGTAACCCTATGCCCTGTTCGGCCTTTCGACTGACCAGGAGGACCTCTGTCTTGTCTGGATTCAATTTCAATTTGTTAGCTCTCATCCAGTCCGACACAGCAGCCAAGCACTGGTTCAAGGTCTGAACAGCCTCCTTAGTGACAGGTGGGAAGGAGTGACAGATTTGGACATCATCTGCATACAGATAACACCTTACTCCGAAACTCTGGATGATCTCCCCCAGTGGCTTCATGTAGATGTTAAATAACATCGGGGACAGTACTGAGCCCTGAGGGACCCCACACGACAACGGTTGTGGAGCCGAACAGATGTCACCCAGTAACACCTTCTGGGACCATCCCTCCAGGAAGGACTGGAGCCACTGCAAGGCAGTACCTCCGAGTCCCATTTGTGCAAGGCGTCTCAGAAGGATACCGTGGTCAACGGTATCGAAGGCTGCTGAGAGGTCTAGCAGAACTAACAGGGACACAGTCCCCCTGTCGAGCTCCTGGCGTATATTATCTACCAAGGCGACCAAGGCTGTTTCAGTTATACACTATTTTAAGTCTTTATAAACCCTCCCCACACACTTATACACTACACAACCCTCTTTGAACATGTTGCCTCTCTTAAGTCCATATTGAAAAACTGTGAAACAGCGAAAAGTGAACCGCGAATTACGAGCGACCACTGTATATGCCTGTAAGAGGACTATCCCTCTGCTGCCAGCCTCAACAAATGTATACACATTTCCCAGGATAGTCATTTTCCTGGACTTGTTCCCACAGGTATTAGCCAGGTAGACCTTTCAGTGAACTTGGACCAACTAATCGGGGACACAATGGATATTGTACTGTTATGCGTGGCCTAATTCTCAGGCGCATCGCAAATCTGTGGGAAGAGCTTCACAGGAAGTAATGCTCCCCATGCTCTATTTTGCTCTGGTTAGACCACACCTGGAATATTGTGTCCAATTCTGGGCACCACAATTCAAGAGAGATATTGACAAGCTGGAATGTGTCCAGAGGAGGGCGACTAAAATGATCAAGGGTCTGGAGAACAAGCCCTATGAGGAGCGGCTTAAGGAGCTGGGCATTTGCCGATGTACCTGAGGGACCGCCTCACCCCCTCCCAACCCCAGAGATCCCTCCGTTCTGAGGACCAAGATCTGTTGGAAGTCCCCAGTGTCAAGACCTTGCGTCTAACAGCAACCAGACGCAGAGCCTTCACAGCAGTGGCACCATCACTCTGGAATACTCTGCCACCTGAAGTCCGTGCCTTGCAGGACTTACCAGCTTTCATAGAATCATAGAATCCTAGAGTTGGAAGAGACCTCCTGGCCATCCAGTCCAACCCCATTCTGCCAAGAAGCAGGAATATTGCATTCAAATCACCCCTGACAGATGGCCATCCAGCCTCTGTTTAAAAGCTTCCAAAGAAGGAGCCTCCACCACACTCCGGGGCAGAGAGTTCCACTGCTGAACGTCTCTCGCAGTCATACCTGTTTCAACAAGCCTTCGATTTTTGATATTGCTGTTTTTAAATTGTTTTTAAATTGTGTTAGATTTTAGCCGTTCTTGTAAGCCACCACTCCGAGCCCCAGGGGAGTGGCTGCATAGAAGTTCTAATAATAATAATAATAATAATAATAATAATAATCTGCTCTACGATCTGACATGTATGCAAAAAAAATTATTTTTCTTTTTCACCTTTCTTTTTGTTACAGTTCAAGTTACTCCTTAGCTGCTCTGGATTTTGAGAAAGAGCACAATTTGGAGCCTGTGTTTGACTCTCCGAGAATGTCCAGGCGCAGCTTGCGCTCGTCTGCCGCTGCATACAGCACGACCAAGGATGCTTCCAGTGAGACGGTCTACGCCGCCGGAAGCAGCATCTCCTACTCTGGGAAGAAGGCTTCTGTAGACCAGTCAGCCAAGTAAGCATTTCTTTGAATGGCGTCCTCGTGTTACTTACCTGCCCACTGAAGGGCTCATTAAAAAGCAGCAGGTCCCATCTGATCTTCTCGTTGGGGAAAATGACCTTAAGATATAGCAGAGCATCCAAAATACAAACAGGATACAGAAGTTGAGCATCATCTCTAAGGCAATCAGAACGTGAAGTGCCATGTGATGTGGCTGTAATAATAAATAATAATAAATAATAAATGTAATAAAAATAATAATAAATAGAATAAAATAATAAATGTAATAATAATAGTGTAAAATAACTGGGGAAGCACATTGAAAAGCAGCAGGTCCCATCTGATCTTCTCGTTGGGGAAAATGACCTTAAGATATAGCAGAGCATCCAAAATACAAACAGGATACAGAAGTTGAGCATCATCTCTAAGGCAAACAGAGCGTGAAGTGCCATGTGATGTGGCTGTAATAATAAATAATAATAAATAATAAATGTAATAATAATAGTGTAAAATAACTGGGGAAGCACATTGAAAAGCAGCAGGTCCCATCTGATCTTCCTTTTAGGGGAAATGACCTTAAGATATAGCAGAGCATCCAAAATACAAACAGGATACAGAAGTTGAGCATCATCTCTAAGGCAAACAGAGCGTGAAGTGCCATGTGATGTGGCTGTAATAATAAATAATAATAAATAATAAATGTAATAAAAATAATAATAAATAGAATAAAATAATAAATGTAATAATAATAATATTGTAAAATAATAAATGGAATAATAATAATAGCGTAAAATAATAAATGGACTAATAGTAATAGCGTAAAATAATAAATGGACTAATAGTAATAATAGTAAAAGAATACATGTAATAATAATAGCGTAAAACAATAAATGTAATAATAATAAAGCAAAATAATAAATGTAATAATGATAATAATAATAAAGTAAAATAAATGTAATAATAATTGAGTAAAATAATAAATGTAATAATAATAATAAATGGAGTAAAATAATAAATTTAATAATAATAATAGCATAAAATAACCGCCCCATCCATCCTAACATTTAGGAAACGGGTGAAGACGTGGCTGTGGAGTCAGGCCTTCGATGAATGAGACAACACCATAGGACCCTGGATGGAAGTTGATGTAGATCCATCTTAACAGGACGACTGACCACTGTAGTTTTATATATAGTGTTTTTAAAGTTGTTTTTGTAATTGTGATATATGATATTTTAATGAGTGTATATGTTTTTTATGGCTGGAAACCGGGCTGAGTCCCTCAATGAGGTTGAGAAGCTCGGTATAGAAAACTGTGAAATAAATAAATAAATACATAAATAATAAAAGTAATAACAATAATAACCCAGTGAAATAATTAAAAAATATTAACTCGAGTATAAGCTGGGGGGGGGGGGTTCAGCCTAAAAAAAGAGCTGAAAAACTCGGCTTATATTTGAGTATATACAGTAGATTACTAAGTATTTGTATGATTACTATTGGTAAATTTCATACTCTTCAATTTGGCAATTGTTTGTTTTTTTTTTTCTCCCAAGAATTGCAAAACAACACAAAAGTGTGGCAAAACAATCTGGCTCTGTAAAGTACAACTCAAGGAAAAACATGTCCGGCTCTTCCGTTTTCAGCCACAGTAGCTTCAGTAGTCAAACAAGCGATGGGTCTCTCCTGTCAACCATATTGGATGAGTCTTCAATACAGGAGCAAACAGCCGTTGACCATTTTTGGGGTAAGTAACAGTAAACCACTGTATACAGTTCGTTTGACATGTTTATGCATCCATGTGTTGATTTCTCTTAATCAGGCGTGGGAAATAGAAATGGGAAGGAATTACTTTAAACCTTGGGGGACTATTGCAAAGTAATCCATTTATTTTTATTGTTAAAGTCAGTGACAAACTGTTGTTGCAACCAGTCAGAATAGACATCACTAAGTTGATTGCAGCAACGGTTGTATAGAAACTGAAGAAGGCACGCTCTCTCCACTCTTATCCAAAGGCGAATGGCGTATACTGCAGAATATGTATGTCTCATCTAAAAACAATGTCTTGCATTTGGTATTTCTGATGTCATAAACTGGATTTACAACAATGTAAACATTTATTGTCGAAGGCTTTCATGGCCAGAATCACTGGGTTGTTGTAGGTTTTTTCGGGCTGTATGTGTTGGGGTTCAGTCTGATCCTGATCTGTGTGAACAGGATTCTCTGATAGTTTTTCAAACTGAGCAAGCTCTCCCTGACTATGACAGTGTGGAATCTGTTGTTGATGCAGAGGTCAGTGGGAATGAAAACGAAACCCAGCAGTTAGAAGAGAATGTTTTGGAAGTTAGCCGTGATATCTCCCCACCTGGGCTTGATAATGAGGTCCGAAGAGAACAGATAGTGAGAGATAGATTTGTTTCCCAGTCTGTACGAAGGTCACAGCGCCTTCAGCAGAAAGAGGCCCAAACAGAAAAGTCAAGGGGCGTTTCTAAGAATAGCTTCTTTGGTTTAAGAGCATCCCTGCCAGGTGCTTCTTTAGGTCAAGCAACATTCGGGACTGTGGCTGGTCTTGGCAGAATTCCTGTGTTCCATGGCCAGTAATCCCAGAGGCTTGTAGTTTCCAAGTTCATGGTTAGTAAAAGGCTAACAGACTCCTGGTTATTGTTTTGTGGCTTTTGAAGTTTTGCTCAAGTTCAGAGATCCTATTGACTACTGTGTTTTTTTGTGGCTTTTTGACTCTGCATTTACCTTTCTTTTGTAACCAATTTTTCATCAATAAACAAGGATTGCTTTTCCTACAGTCCAGAGTGGTGGATTTAATCTTATGGTTTTGTTTCTTGAACTGGGATGCAACAGTATGGCCATGGTCTAGAGGCATTCTCTCCTGACGTTTCGCCTGCATCTCTGGCAAGCATCCTCAGAGGTAGTGAGGTCTGTTGGAACTAGGAAAATGGGTTTATATATCTGTGGAATGACCAGGGTGGGACAAAGGACTCTTGTCTGCTGGAGCTAGGTGTGAATGTTTCAACTGACCACCTTGATTAGCATTTGATGGCCTGACAGTGCCTAGAGCACACTTTTGTTGAGAGGTGATTAGGTGTCCTTGTTTGTTTCCTCTCTGCTGTTGTGCTGTTGTAGTTTTAGAGTTTTTTAATACTGGTAGTCATATTTTGTTCATTTTCATGGTTTAACCCATTGTGCCACCAGGGGCTCCTCTCCCACTGAGGTGAACTAACAAAGGCCTTCACATAGCGAGGCCTACTCACACTGAGACCTTTCTTCCACCGAAGTCTTCTCACATTGAGGGCTCTCTCAGACTGAGGCCTACTAACACCGAGGCCTGTACACATGAGGCCTTCACACACAATGGCCTTCAACCTGAGACTTATCTCACCAAAGCTTCTCGCGCCGGGCCTTCTCATACTGAGGCCTACTAACACCGAGGCCTTTCTCTCACTGGGGGCTTCTCACACTGAGGGCTCTCTCAGACTGAGGCCTACTAACACTGAGGCCTGTACACATGAGGCCTTCACACACAATGGCCTTCAACCTGAGACGTATCTCACCAAAGCTTCTTGCGCCGGGCCTTCTCATATTGAGGCCTACTAACACTGAGGCCTTTCTTTCACTGTTCTCACATTGAGGGCTCTCTCAGACTGAGGCCTACTAACACTGAGGCCTGCACATATGAGGCCTTCACACACAATGGCCTTCAACCTGGGGCTTCTCGCACCGGGCTTTCTCATATTGAGGCCTACTAACACCAAGGCCTTTCTCTCACTGAGGCCTTCTCACACTGAGGGCTCTCTCAGACTGAGGTCTTTCTCCCACTGAGGCAAACTAACACCGAGTTTTCCAAATCTACAGTGCAGGATTTACTTCCCTCTGTTAATCAATTAAGGGTTATTAAAACCCTTAAATGATTTTGAACTCCTATAGTATGATTGATTAATCCCAGTTTTTACTTGAAATCGTAAGAAAAGCACAGATCTGAACTGGAAATATTAAGTAAACAAATTGGAAGGTTGGCTAATGTTGTCTTAAGATGAAAAAAAAGGAACCCAGGTGCCTGAGAAATGAGAGGAGGGAAGCAGAGGGACAGAAGACTTTGGGAAAGCAGCTTACCTTTCTGCTTCCTCTCAAGGAGACTCGAGGATTGCGAGATTTGTCGAACAAGCTCATTAATTTCCAACTGGAGGAAAGAAGGTGTTAGCTTTGTCAGTGTAGATTGGCATCAAAGACACAAAGCATGAGACACAAAGCCTTTCCTTGGGCTGTCTTGAGAAAAGAGTCTCTTGGTATTTGGTGTGTGTGTGTTTGGTTACATGTGTATATATGGTATATATGTTTATGTGTGACTCAGTGTGATTACAGCAGGCATGGGCCCACTTTGCGCCCTCCCCAGGTGTTTTGGACTTCAACTCCCACAATTCCTAACAGTCGGTAGTGGGAGTTGAAGTCCAAAACTCCTGGAGGGAAGGCCGAAGTTGGCCCATGTCAGGTTAAATTATGCAAAACAAAAAAAATCAGAGGAATCCAAGATGAAGAAGAAGGGAAATAATGGCCCCCTCTACGCTGCCATATAAAATCCAGATTTTCTGCATTGAACTGAATGTATTTGGCAGTGTAGACTCATATCATCCATTTCAAGGCAGATAATGTGGATTATCTGATTTGAGAATCTGGATTATATGGCAGTGTAGAAGGGGAGCTTCACACGTGGGGCCTTCTCATACTGAGGCTTACCTCACACCGAGGCTTCTCTCACAAACTAAGACTAAGGTCTACCTCACACTGTGAGACCTTCTCTCACAGACTAAGGCCTACCTCACACTGTGAGGCCTTCTATCACAGACTAAGGCCTACCTCACACTGTGAGACCTTCTATCACAGACTAAGGCCTACCTCACACTGTGAGGCCTTCTATCACAGACTAAGGCCTACCTCACACTGTGAGGCCTTCTATCACAGACTAAGGCCTACCTCACACTGTGAGGCCTTCTATCACAGACTAAGGCCTACCTCACACTGTGAGGCCTTCTCTCACAGACTAAGGCCTACCTCACACTGTGAGACCTTCTCTCACAGACTAAGGCCTACCTCACACTGTGAGACCTTCTCTCACAGACTAAGGCCTACCTCACACTGTGAGACCTTCTCTCACAGACTAAGGCCTACCTCACACTGTGAGACCTTCTCTCACAGACTAAGGCCTATCTCACACTGTGAGACCTTCTCTCACAGACTAAGGCCTACCTCACACTGTGAGACCTTCTCTCACAGACTAAGGCCTACCTCACACTGTGAGACCTTCTCTCACAGACTAAGGCCTACTTCACACTGTGAGACCTTCTCTCACAGATTAAGGCCTACCTCACACTGTGAAGCCTCCTCTCGCAGACTAAGGCCTACCTCACACTGTGAGACCTTCTCTCACAGACTTAGGCCTACCTCACACTGTGAAGCCTCCTCTCGCAGACAAAGGCCTACCTCACACTAGTTAATTTTTAATATTTCTGACAAGTTGCACTAAAATACACGGATTACAATTGGAATTGCACCACTTATAGAATTGTAGAACAGTAGAGTTGGAAGAGAACACATGGGCCATCTACCCCAACCCCCTGCCATGCAGGAAAATGTTATCTCTTCCTTTGGAGGCTTTTCTTTATAGCAAAATAATATGGTTGCACTATTTACAAGAACAAGGTATCCATGAAACAAATAAAGTTCAACTTTCACACTGGAGCTTCACACACAAGGCCTTCTCGTACTGAGGCTGACCTCACAAAGAGGCTTCTCTCACAAACTAAGGGTTACCTCATACTGTAAGCCCTTCTCTCACAGACTAAGGCCTACCTCATACTGTGAGGCCTTCTCACAGACGTAGACTTTCCTCCCACTGAGGGCAACTAACATTGATCATGGATACAAGATCAAGGTATCCATAACACAAATAAAATTCAGCCTTTACACAGTAGCATCACACGTGAGGCCTTCTCACACTGAGGCTTACCTCACACAGAGGCTTCTCTCACAAACTAAGAATTACCTCATACTGTAAGCCCTTCTCTCACAGACTAAGGCCTACCTCACACAGTGAGGCCTTCTCACAGACTTAGACCTTTTTCCCACTGAGGGCAACTAACACTAGTCATGGACAAAAAATAAAGTATCCATGACACAAATAAAATTCAGCCTTCACACGTGAGGCCTTCTCATACTGAGGCTTACCTCTCACAGACTAAGGCCTGCCTCACACTGTGAGGCCTTTTCACAGACACTTTTTCTCACTGAGGCAAATTAACAGCGAGGCCTATTAAACTACAGGCACACCTGCTTATATAGAACTTCAGCTTTTGCGGAGTAATTTCATCCATTTAACCCTTTCAGTGGTTGACTCATATTTCTGTAATTAAAAATACCTAGGTAATTTTTCATGTTTCTGACAAGTTGCACCGAAGTACGTCGATTACAATTATAATTGAGCTACTTATAGAATTGTTGAACACTGGAGTTGGAAGAGACTACATGGGCCATCTAGCCCAACTCCCTTCTAGGAAAAGCACAATCAAAATACCCCTAACAGATGGCCATCCAGCCATCTGTTTTCCTTGAACATTTATATAATTAACATACCGCATATACTCGAGTATAAGCAAATCCAAATAATAATAATAATAATAAAGTAAAATAATGGAACGGTAATAATAATAGTAATAATAGAGTAAAATTAAAAAATGTATAAATAATAAGTAGAATAAAAGAATAAATATAATAATAGCATTAATTAAGTAAAATAATAAATGTAGTAATAATAATAGAGTAAAAAATAAATGTAATAAAATAATGATAGAGTAAAATAATGTAAATGTAGTAATAACAATAATAATGGAGGAAAATAATAAGTATATTAATAATAAATAGACTAAAATAATAAATGTAATAATAGCAATAATAAAGTGCAATAATAAATTTAATAACGGAGTAAAATAATAAATGTAATACCAATAAATACAGAGTAAAATAATAAATATAATAAAAATAATAATAGAGTAAAATAATATCAATGTAATAATACCAATAATAGAGTAAAATAATACATGCAATAATACTAATAATAATAGAGTAAAAGAATAAATGCAAGAATAAAAATAGAGTAAAATAATACATGGAATAATAATAAT